CTGGTTCTGGCTCTGGCTCTGGCCTGAGATCCTCGGGTCCTCCATCTCTGGGTTCTGTCTGCAGCTTCGTTTTTATGGGCGGAGGCAGGCGCAAAAGCAGCATGGCGGCAGGAGCTGGAACTGCAACGGCAGGTCCGCCAGCAGACAGCGACACCCCAGACCCCAAACCCCAGACCCCAAGCCCCAGAACCCAGAACCATTTCCGAGATCGGGAACACAACTCCAGTTCTATGCACAGGAAAAAAGGAGGCCCAACTTCGATCGATTTGACTAGAAATCAACACTGCTTTTATGTTACAAAACAATTCATTTTTTCTAAAATGAATTATACCTAACTTAAAAAGCATAAATCTAGAATAGTTTTCTGTTTAAAATACTTCATTGTTTTAGAATGAAATATAAATGAAGCTTGCTCCTAACAGAATAAACTATTTTTGGATTGCAGCACCTATAATGCATATTTAGGCATTCGTAATGATGAACTATTTGTTGTTTAAAATAATAACGCTGAACTTCTCTGTAATACTATTCTAGTATGAACTTCCTCAAGATGCATTCTCAAATTACGTCTTTTGTGTAATGATCCAAACTTTTTGCGCAGTGCAGCTCCAGTCTCGAAGGCTGCTGCATTCTGCTGCCTTGCAGCGACCGTCGCGTATCTTGTATCTGGCATTCAACTCGTTTGCAAACTATTAATTTTGTGTAACATCCTGGCATCTGCGGCATCGAGTGGCCAAAGCCTTCGGGTTGAACGGCACGATCGGCGGGGAAAACGGAGCAGAAGATATTTGCAATTTAGATTTAGAAAATAGACTGTCCGCTGGCGGTGCTTTCCCGCACGTTAGATTTATTTTCCCGGAGTTTTCGTTTTTAGCCCGGCTTCTGTTTTATAGTTCTTCTCGTCAGTTACCATTATTGACACGATATTCGGTAATTATATGAATTATGTGCAATTTACGGAAATTTTCTGAGCCAAATTGCATGCAAACTTGAGCATATTTTTATGTGCAATTAGCCACTAAATAAAGGCTCTTGTGGGGCCACTCCAAAGCAGAAAGCGAAATAAATATGTGGCGAGCAATTTGTATAAATAAATAAATAAATAACCCACTAATTAGGGTGCGGCCTGCCTGGCTGAATAAAAAATGTTCGAAGAGAAATGTCAACAAATTGTCAATTTTGCTGTACGAAAAAGGGGAGAGGCGATCTAATAGGCATTTGACATTTCGAAAGATTCGCCTGCCAGCCATCAGCAGGTAGCACGAGTATCTTTGCATCTGCATCTGATTCTGAATCTGCGGCAGGTATCCGCTGGCTGCATCTTTTGATGATCTGCTTGGAGCCCTGCCAGGTTTGGTCTTGTCAATTAGGGAATGGATTCCGAATGCCAGCAGACTTCACAAGACTGCATGCGATATTTACCAAACATGCAGCTATGCTCGTGTGTGTTTATTGGCAGATAATTTACGCCGGGAGCTCTTCAAAAAACAAAAACTCTTTTTGCGGAAAGTGTTTCGCAGAATTCAGACAGCCTCGTACTCGTTGTCGTTCTCGTTCTCTTCGCTCGGAAGATGGCGTTTGAGCTGGCGTTTTTTCTTTGCACTATAAAATGGTTGCCACAGTAACAACTTGACGTGATTATATGCAATCAGCCACTCCCCCTCCACCCTTCAGCCCCTCAGCCCCTCCACTCCCCGCCTCATGAGCAACATGCACTCGAAATTTGCATAATTGTTAACATGGTGTTGCTGCTGCCTTTGCCGCTGCTGTTATTTTTACTGGACTTTAATCAGCGCCTGTTTCCGATGCTACCCTCCAGATTACCCTTTATTATTGGCATTTGCGCTGCTTGGCACCTGCAACAACGTTTTTTAATAGCGATTCTTAGTCCGGCCGCAATTATGAAGAGCCATGCACATGCCAACACACCCAGCAAAAACTTCTAATAAAGACATTTGCTGTCGAAAATTGAGTTGTGTTCTGGGACGATTAGGTGGCCGCCTAATTGCATGTCCCAGCAGGCTGTTGACTCTTGAGCTCTTAAATCTAATGTTTTTTTTTAGAGTTTTTATAAATATATTTAATCGTGTCTGTACCTTCAAAGGCAGTCGAAGAATCACGCCAACTAAAAACATATTCGAAAGATATAAAAGGTGTGCAGACAAGCATTTAAGTTTCGGGTGTTTACTTAAGGTCTAATTTTATTGACTGCTCATATAACAGCATCATTTAAAAATGTACCCCAATATATTATTAAATCTGTTAGGCATAATGTTACGTAAGAGCAGCTATTGTTGTAGCTGTATCCAGAAAAGATGTAATTATATATAAAGACATGGCTACACATAGTTGTATAGATGGCTGCCTTTCACATTGCCCTCAACCGAATATGATTAAGAAAGTAATTAAATCTCGGCGATGCATGAAAACTCAAGGAAAATGGCAACGGCAGACAGAGATGCCAAGATACCCGAGCTCTCCGGCGAGAAACATAATTTCCTGCGTTCATTACTTTGAGTGCAGTTTGTATGGGCTGCATATGCATCTGTATCTGCATCAGTATCTGCATCTGCATCCGTATCTCTATCTGTATCTGTGCCTGTAACTGATTCTGAGCGAATTTCATTCATGTCTCTGGCAGGCGAAGTTCATGTTCTTCATTACTGCACCCCGCTGCAATCAATTTCTTCGGCGCTTCCACTTGCCGCAATTTGCATAACAGATACTCGTCGTTCTTGCTGTTATTGCCCGGCTGCCATGAGTAACAGATACATAAATAATAACAATGTGCCCCATTGATTGGAGCCGGGCGGGGAACGAGTTTCCCCACACTCACACACACACACACACACATCCACACGCTTGCAAATCGAAACGGAAAATCAGGCAAAGTTGTTAGTCAACGTGTATCTGTATCGCTTGCGTCGACTTGTTGGCAGTGCGACTGACTACCTATAAATATGCAGTTCATGCGGAGCACTTCAGCGGCTCTTTAATTGGCTGACATGTTGTGATTTCGGGTTGTCAAGCGCCGGTTGAGTAAGCAAATATGGAAATGCAAATGCGATTGCAGGTCTGCAATTAACCTTTTCAGCGGGTAGCAGCCTATATTTAGTTTCTTCGATAAATACTTTCAATGGCCAATCCTTTGCAGTTTAATGAACTAATGAGCGGGCACTTGATTTATGAGACACCAGGCCAAAGACTAGCCAAAAATATTTCTTAGAACCTGAATCAAATGATTTATTCGTCGACAGAAATATTTAATTATTTTTTAGCTAAAATAATAAACGAGCTGCAGGTAGGATTGCAGCCAGGTAGATCGAAGCAAAATGTCAAACTGTTTGCAACCCAATTAATCTCCCCCAACCGCCGGCGAATATGAAGAATCTCCCCAATAATTTGATTACACTTGGGATCCCCGAAACGACTTCGTGAGTTGCCCTGTCGATGGGTCAGAAGCGGTGGAAAATCGGAAAATGGGAAAATCTGGGGACAGCCGCGTGAAACGGGGGGTGGCTGAAAGAAAAATCTGTGTGCGCGCCAGAGACATGATGAAAAATCGCCGAACAATTTTTCGTTCACAATTTTCCAGCCCAACAAATTTCGGGTGGAAATTTGTTCGGTTAAATTTAAATATAAACGGAGCGAGGTGCTGAGATTTATATCAAGCCCCACTGTCCGTATCTGCATCTGTGTCTGTCTGCTTAGATGTATCTGTATCTGTATCTCTATCTGCAAATGTATCTGTATCTGCGGCGGTATTATGAGTTATTGTGGGAGTCAGGCGGCCTTAGCTGCGGGATCAGATCGCCTCACGTTTGTTTACAATTTTCACGAGCTACGATTTTCGCGGTCGAGTTTTTCACGCAGCGTTTCCCCTTTTCCTTCGCCACGGAACTGGAGAAAATCGGAGAGCGTAAGTGCGAGGGAAATGTTGTTATTGTTTATGTATTTTGACAAGATTCCCCGCGCGCACAGTTTGCCAGACAATTTGGTGCTAAGCACTTGGCAACGTTTTCTGCCCAATGAATATGGCTCGCTGGCTCGCTGGCTCGCTGGCTTTCTGGCTTGCTGGCTTGTTGCAACACCCATTCCGAGTGAGTGAGCCAAGTGTCTCGCAGAAGTGGTAATGAGCACTGGCTGAGGTATCGATTGCGGCGAGTTCTCGGCCGGCGGACGGATGTTGATTTATGGAGCTCATTTCTAGCTAATTCCATCATAAGTGCCGGTGAGTTGGTTAAGTGATGCGGTACATTAAGTGCAGACACAAAATGGTTATATATGCCTCTATTTGCGAGTGTTTGTTTTTTTATCTACACATAATAACTAACAAAACTTCGTAGGAAACTGCTACTTGGTAGCTTTTTATACGTTTCGTCTTCTTTAAGTTAGGCTGCTAACTAGCCAAGATAAACTAGTTGGCATGATTATTTCGACGAGCTATTTTTGTTACTATTTATAACTTCCGCACTAGTTCTATATCAGTTGTAAATTTATCTGTCCTTTTACGGAATTGTACATCTTTGTATTTGTCAGATATTTTTAACCACTATTAGAAGTAAATTATTTTTTGTTTGTAATTGAAAACAGCTTTTAATTATCCATGACTATTAAGAGCTCAATGTTTCAAAAGAATTTCCAAGTTAGTTTAACCTCTTTTTCTTATCTGGAAGGTTAAAACTTGTTTTTGTTTGAAAACATGTAATTATTAGTTAATAAGCTTCTATAATAAGTGTTTATTGAGAGCAATCCTAAAATGTAAAAACTACTTACTACTAATCAAGATATACTTGATATTTGAATAGTACTTTATAAACACCAGAATAACTCAATTTTTTAATGAAGGAGGAAAATGGAACTTTAAATGTTTAAAAAAACATTTTAAATTTTGGTCAATATACAACCATCATTGAATGAAGAATAATTCAGAATATTTCATACTAAATCCTAGTTAACTTAATAATATTTATTTATTATGTATCGAATGGAGTACTCACTCGTTCCGAGATGCACTCGCTTCATCCAGGGATAGATCTGCGGCGGGTTCTTCTTGCCGTTGCCGCTGTTCTGGCTGCTGCCCGCCTCGTTGCCGCTGTCGCTCTCGGAGTCCGAGTCCCCGCCCCCCGGACTGTGCATGGGGACGTTGACGTTGCCCGGTCCGCCGGGCACCCCGGATCCGCTGTGGTTGTTGTTCAGGCTGGCGGCGGCGGCCGCGGCGGCCAGACTGCCGCCCAGGACGCCCTTGTTCAGCGATCTGGCCACGCTCTCCACCACCGAACTCGGCGAGAGCTTCGGCGAGATGTCCCGCGTGGAGAGGTCCTGCGGGCTGGCCAGGGACTGGCTGTTGTTGTTGTTGTTGCTGTTGGCGCTATTGTTGTTGTTGTTGCTGCCGGGGACGCCGCCCCCTCCCCCGCTGCCGCCCGGCGTCACGGGGTCGTTGGCGTACTTGCAGCTGATGTTGGCCTGCTGCTGCTGCTGCTGTTGCTGCTGCTGTTGCGGGTTGTGTTGCTGCTGGGCGAGTTGCTGCTGCTGCTGCTGCGCGGCCACCGCCGCCGCTGCGTGGGCGTGCTGCTGCTGCTGTTGCTGCTGCTGCTGCTGCAGGAGCAGGCGCTGCGGCTGCAGCTGTGTGTAGTCCACCATGTCGGGGTTGCCCTGTCCGCCGTAGGCCGCCTGGTTGGCGTAGTGCGCCTGCGGAGTGTTCGGGTAGAGGTTGGGCGTGTAGGCCGCCGCCGCCGGGAAGTAGTCGTTGGCCCCCGGAGTGGCCGCCCCCGCGCTGCCCTGGCCGCCGTTTGCCCCGCCGCTGGCCACCACGCCCCCGCTGCCGCCCGCCCCGCCGCCACTGCCGCCCGCACTCGAGTTGCCCGCTCCCGGGTGGTTCTGCTGCGGATTCATCTGCTGCGGATAGCAGGAGGCCAGCGAGTTGACGAACTGGTACGAGGACATCGCGAAGCAGTCGGGATCCATTCTGAAGCCAGGGGTCCTAGTCGTGGATTGGAGTCTGCAAGTCGGAGGAAAAGCCATTAGAAACTGAGTTGATTGCGGTTCTATAAACAATTAGTAACAGAATGTTGGGAAAGCTTATGAAGAGCGCATTACCCCTTTAAGAAGCTATTGTAAAGTTAATCAAATTCCTTTAAACCAAATTAAAAGATTCCATAATTAAGATTGGCAAGTTTGTATTAAAGCATTGACCTTCTTGTTGATTGGTTGATACTTTAACCACCATTGTTATGCTTTGTATTCTTGAACTCTCATAAAAAGAAAAGGAACTCGGCGAACCTCAGAATTAATTCGTTTTATTGCTTTTCCTTTTCAAGCTTGAGATCTCTTTCTGCGATTGGCAACATTGTATCTGCGAAGCTGCGGGGGTTAAGTGTTTGCATGCAACTGAAGATAAACCGAATGGACACCAGCTTTTGAATGCAACTTATTTGTAAAGCAAACAACTGTGGCCTTAACCTCGGGGATACATACAATGTAAATTCGGAATTTAAGATGAAGATACTCGTATGAGCAATAAAATAGATAGAGAACTATTTGTATACAAATCAATAAGTCAAGTGAGGAATACTCTTGGGCAGCACGTAAAATACTTTATTCAAAACCAAATAATCTAATAAAGTAAAGCATTGGAATTAAAAATACGTGAGTTATAAAACTGCTTTTAGTTTTTCAGGCGAATGAATACGAAAACATCTTTTGATTGGCTCCTTCTTTAAAGTGTTGCTTCGCTCGCTGATAATTTCGCTGGCCTTTTACTCGGCTATTGTTATTATTACTTTTAGAACGGTACAAAGTCGGGTCTTGCTTATTTTCCGCTGGTGGAGAGAGTAGGGGCTGCCTAAGCATGCAATTTAAGCGCGCCGGGCCATCGAAGTGGATACTTTATACGTGGAGAGGAGCCTTTGGCCGCGGAATGCCGAGGGACCGCCCACTCTTCTGGACACACTTGGCGCAAATTTCTTGCGGCTGCACTTGCTGGCTAAAACCCCCTTCCTTCCCCTCCGCTCCCCTCCCCTCCGCTCCACTCATTGCAACCATCGCAGATATTGCAGTCTTGGTCTGGGGCATGTTTGTTCAATGGCGGAAAAACTCGTATTCTCCGCCGCGCAGATAGCAAACAAAAGCAATGACCCTCCGCTTCGAAAGGAGCTGAAGGAAAGGAAAGGAGCTCTCGAATCGCCCCAGAGCCGAAAGAGTGCAAAAAGGCAATACGGCAAAAGAGGCCAAGCGAGGCCGCTGCACATGAACATGGCCAAAACCGAAAATCGAGATGGCAATATTGATTCGCAAAGCCGAGTTCTATATACTCTAAAATTTATACGAAATAATTCCTTCGAGAAATACCAACTGTATTTTGCGCAAGTTCAATTTAAGTCAACTTTTCCTTAATATAAAAATTGGAATAAAAACAGTTGAGATTACTTCTCTAAATTTTAGCTTGTGTTAATTTAAAGGTGGAAGTATAAGTATATATAATTTGTGAAAAGGGTCTGAAAATTCCTGAGATGATAGCACCTTTTCGAAGAGCATCGGAATAAGCAACAACAGCGGAGCACAGAGAACATTGGCCAAAAACAATGCACCCAAATGCACACCCCGCACCCCGCTGCCCTTTTTGTGTCTCGAAACCAATAATTTTGATTCAGTGGGCAATTTAACCCTTTAGCATGTTGGGCAAATGAAAGGAGCTCTCAACTTGGGCTTAAATTAAAACGCCGTACGCCATTCGAAGCTGGCCAAGAACCCAAGGAGCGAATGCTCAACTTTGGACAGAGATTTATTTGATGAGCAGGGTTCTCGGGGAAAACGCAACAAAAAACAAAAATTAAGGAAATATTGTAAACTCGCCTTCGGGTCTCTGCTCCGCCTGCTCCGCCTGCCCCCTTTTCCCCCTTCCCCCTCGCCGATCTGTAGCGATTATAGGCTTAAAGGCCGGAGTAACGGTGCTTTGGAGAAAACCATTTCGACCTGGCAATATGAGAATTATAGTTGTAGACAAGCGCCCGTGTTTAAGCCAAACAAGGCCGAAATCAGCGAAATTATAGGATCAGCGACTCTGGCTGACTTTGAACCTTTGACTGGCAGATATTTAAACAACCTGGGGTCGAATCGATTTGGTGGCAATTCGAATGGAAGCGATGAAAATTGATTGGGTGAAAAACCACTGTTTTCGGCAACCAAAGATTGGGGGCTTCAAAAGTGGAAATTGATTTGCCAGTTATGTCTTTCGTAATGGAATCGATTAATTCACACTTATATTTACTTAGTAATTTCTTCTCAATTTATATTCGTATTTATTTATTCATAAGCAATCTTATCATAGGCTTCCCTCTTAAAGTTTTCCCAATGCAGTTGCATTTATGAAAATCAAACTAAAGCCAATCACTTAAGGCAAAATTAAAAATTCAAAAATCTAGAGGGGAAGGGAAGCTGAAGCCATAAATTAAACGAATTTTGGAAATTGTTTTCGAAATAGTTTAAGACGGCGCTGAGGCGACAAGCGGTTCAATTGGTGTTAATTAAATCCATGAATAATAAAAACGCCGGCGAATTTTGCGGGCAGCGAAAGAGACGGGGAACCGGAGGGGAGAAAGAGAGGGAGGAACAGACTCCGTCTTAGATTGGCGATCGTCGGCCGAATTCATAAGAAAGCCATAAATTATGGCAATTCTCCCGGGCTCAGCGACATTTTGGACTCGGGCAACCGAGTTTTTCTTTTGTTCCTCCCCTGTTATATAAACACTTTAATATGCCTTCGAATGGGAGCGAAATTTCTCTTTTGCCCCGATACTTAAACCGCAGAACGAATTTCCTTTTCCCGGCCACGTCGCTTTCCATTTCACATTGACACAGGTAGGATCAGACCCTGTTTAACCTTTAGAGGAGGGTAAGAGTCAAAGTGAGAGTAAATAAACAGCAATTGAGTTGCACATGCGTTTGGTGATGCCATAAATCAAACGGGGGGAATATTCCAAAGCGACAGCTGAAAAGGGTTTCTTCTTTGAAACTCATCCAAGATGTTGATTGTATTTTTAGGGGGTAGCGTGTGTACTTTATTCGATCTAGGGGCTGAGCATCTGCCCAATTAAGATGATTAAGTTTAGCATAATCGATAATTACCCTTTCTGTGGGACGTTAAATATTCGTAGATACAAACAAAAGATATAAGTATCGATTTTTTAATTCTTAAAAAATACATATTAATATTGATATTATCAGTTTTATATATACATATAAGGTGCAATTTATCAACCATGAAATTAAATAAAAGCCCTTTTTATAAATAGCATATGATTTGGATATTATTAACATCTTTAATACTATTAAAACTTGTATTATGTTCCTCTTATTTTAACCTTACCTAAACCCACTTTTACTAGTTCTACTCAAACCCCACTAAATCAAAGCCTAGCCCAACTCGTTTCTGCTTGAAGAAAACCCCGTGAAGGAGCTGTCATCCATTTCTGGGCACTCCATCATCGTCGGCATCTACGTCATCGGCCCAGAGGCCACCATCTTAATTATGAGGCGCACAAAGCGGCCAGAAGAGCAGTTACTTCTCCTACGAATGTCGCCGGGCTGTTTGTCGTCACCATTACGGATTTTGTACCCAAACGAGCCCTGGCCATAAATCATAATTTTTAATATTTGTTGTCAACAGGGGCGTAGCTTGTGTGCATGTAAACACGCCGCTCAGAACCTCAAACAGCGGTACGCACGGGTACAACTCTCGAAAAAAAAAACGAGAACAAAAAAGATAAATAAAAGGTATTTGCGCACGCGCAGTCACACTCATTGGCAAAGCTTGCCGTCCCGCTCCCTCGACAATGCACTGGCGTGAGAGGGAGAGAGAGGACCGAGACTGTGTGCGGACCCATTAAAAAGTCATAAAAATTTGTAAGCACCTCATAAAAATAGTCATAAATATTATTCCTCTTCATCTTTTTGTGTCTTTTTTTCTCACTCCCGAAACTTGCATCTCTTTCTGGCTTCTGCTGCGGCAACCCTCGTCACATGTTTGCGGTTTGTTTGTTTGTTTGTCACGGCTCTCATAATTTTTATGAGTTCTTCAATTGTTTTCCCAGCTCAAACCAATCATCGATCCCGATCCTCGCTGCAAGCGGCCATTTGTGGTTCGGTCTGATAATTTACGATCAGTTGCGCAATGGTCGATGGAAATTATTATCTCAGTAGTCCTGTTTCGGTCAAGGACATCTCAACTGTGTAATATATTATGGTTTTGCTGTGTTTAGCTACTGTTTATGTGTAACAGTTGATAATTTAGATTTATGGTAGTCTTTAAGTGAGTATTGTATTTCAGTTGGTGGAGGTTCAACTTTTTTTTCTATCCCATTAATACATTTTTAAACTTTTAATACGTTAGAAAATATAAATTTAACATAAATATGTGCTATAATAAATAATTAATAAATATTTTCTTACTATTGTAATAAAAATTTATCAACTTTAGCAACAAAAATAATGACCTAATCTTTTATTTTTCTTTGTTTGATTTTCTACTTTGTAGTTCTTTATTTTCGTTTCCTGACAGAATTGTCTGCCATTTTTGCGGCCAATAGATCAACGACTTTAGCACAAATTTTTTGCTTGCGTGTTTGCGATTTTGATTTATAAATATGAACAAGTGGAGCTGAAATATTTGAGGAGGGCGGCGAGGAGAGCCGGGGTTAGCCCATGATGAATGTCTCCGCCAGGCGCAGGCCAAATAAATTACAGCGCTGCAGAAGACACTCGAAGAACTTTGGACTGGCCTCTTCCCTCCAATTAGCAGTATGGAACTAGAAGTCGGAATGGGAGTGTTACTGGGTACTGGGTCTGCGATTGCGACTGTCTCACTGTTTGCCCACATTATGCAATCGGGGCAGCCAGCTCTTTGATCTTGGCCCACCCTCGGCGAGCCAAACGAATGAAAGTGACCTACATCAAGTGGAATTTCTTCCACTTAGAGCCCATATGTGTTCAGCCCCGTCGGGATGTGGATGTGGAACTCTGCCGAGGAGGAGCGTCTTCACTCGGTCATTGGCAAAGTCGCCTGAAGTTCCAGACCAGTGCGTCTTCTATTCACGTTACATATTTTCAGGTTCGCCCCATGGCGTCTTGGCCAGCATGAGTTCGCTTCCCCGGACAGGGCCAAGCCTATGTGGTAGTACTTCATCCCTACTTGGGTTGGGTATATAGCGTATATAGCTATGTGCCTGGATTAGCCTTCTATATGCGCCGCTTGTTAGGCATTTTTCATTCGCTGTGACATTTCGCCTTTGTGCCTCTTAATTATTTCAAAAGCGGCTGCATTTCGTTTTAATGAAGTGAAAATTCCTTGCGTTGATACCGCGCACGCAACCCAACGAAAAATTACCAAAACACACACCACAAACAGAAACAAAGGACTGATATAGGAAAATATACAAAGTAGGTTCGGGGTTCGGTTTCGGACAAAACAAATACACTTATTGATTTATAAAGATTAAATTACTTGGTAAGAAATGCCTTAAAATAGATTTATCATTCAAAAGAAATTACATCAATATACTAAAGTGCAATGTTTTGTGAATTAAATAAAGTTATCCAATATAAGTCAGTAAAATGTATTGTATTTACTTTCTAAGAAATGCCTTAAGAAAGTTTCATCATCCCAAGAAATTTAATTTATATACTAAAGTGTAATGTTTTATGAATTGCGTTGATGAAAGAAGGTTACAAAAAATAAATTAGTCCAAAAGACTGCCACCAAGTATCAGGTTACATAAGTTGAAATGAGATTTTAATGAACCTTATAAATCAAAGATGAACCTACGTAGCATGAATATGGATTTTTATTGACTCGTTTACTTTAATATTTTACAACACATCAAAAAAAGCACAAAAAATACAAAACAAAAAAATAAAACGGAATATTCTTTGACCTTCGAGCAAGCATTTCCACCTGTCCCTAGGTGGATAGCGAATTAGCCTGCCCTAAAACCCGTCTACTCACAATTGCAGTTAGCCGTCGGCGCTCACCTCTGGTGAAGCGGGTTTCTTTTCTGATATTCACTGCACTGAATCACAAACCTCACTTGTAACTCGGAAATAGCAGAGGGCAATCACAAAGGCAAAATGTCACAACCAGCCGGATATGTGGAGAGTTAATCCGCTGGCATCCTGCTGGCAAATTGGCTAGACTTGAGCGTTCTACCTGCAGGTGAATGTTTAGATGGCAACTGGCCGCAAAGGGCTAATCGACGGATTTGGACGGCTTTTAAGTACGGAACTAGAACACACGCACTCGCGCAATTTGTCACAGATCGCGATTAGTATCTGCGGGATGGCCAAGTATCTAAGTGTCTGTGCGAATTTCACGCCGAATTTATGACTGTCCATCAACGCCAGCATCGATGCAAGCACTTTGCTGCCCATCCATCTTCCGCTAATATCGAACAGTTTCCGAGTGTCTTTGTATCTTTGCGCGGCACAGCAGTGGCTGTGTGTTGGATTGTTTGAGCTGCAGAGTGCTTTTTTGTTTTATTCCGGTGTATCCGCGGATACGTGCTCGAAGCGCCAATGTCTCACTTTGACTGCTCGGGCATAATTCAAATATCTGAGCATCAATAAAAAACACACCGATACGCGTACGCGCTGCTCACTCACACTGCCCCAATTCCCCCGTCCAATTGTATCTGCGAGTACGAGCAAGTAGGGCTATGTAGCTACGTATCGCCGACCAAGTGCAGCGTTCATTATTCGAAAAGTGTGCGAGAGGGACGGCAGAGCGGCGCACTGGCCGCCGTCTCGGTCGCTCTTGGGAAGAGCATGCCTCCACCTTTGCGGACGCGAAGAACGTTTCGAATCAACCGCCAAACCAGAAATTCGTTGCCACAAATTGTATCTCACGTACACGGGGCCCCTGTGTGTGTGAGTTCGAAAGAGCGCCAGTTCGAAGAGCACCTCTCTCCGCATTTCGAACAAGTTCTTATTGCTCTCACTCCCACCGTACGTGTCCGTGTGAGATCGTTAATCGGGAGTTCGAAAAATACGTTTTCGAACTCCGACTTATCCGAAATTCTTATTGTTCTCACCGACACTGTCCGTGTGAGATCGATTCGGCGACTTTGGGGACTTTTGTGAGTGCTTTGAAAAGGTAAATCTATCATAACAAACCCTCTGGAGGCTCAATATATGATGAAGTAGAAAATTACATTTTTTCTATGTTTATATAGTAAACAAGAAAAAAAAAACAGTGACTGCATGTTTTTGTTTACTTATGATAATTCTAATAAATAAAGAAAAATTTATCACAACAAACCCTCTAGAGGCTAAAAATATGATAGTTTTTGAAAAGTTTATTTTTTAACTTTATCTGATTTACAAGAAGAATACACTAAATGCATGATTTGTTTATTTTTGAGATTTTTTATAAAAACCAAAAAAATGGTATCCAAATAATCCGTGTGATGGCTTAATTTATGACGAAGTAAAAATTACTTTTTTTTCTAGTTACCGGAAAAAAACACAGCAAATTCTTGTTTTATTAATTTTTTTTTAGATTTTTAATAAATAGGAAAAAATCCTTTGCCTTGGTTAATAAGAAATGACAATAACGACGTTGGAAAGCAAAAATATGGAATTTAATGTTTACATTTTTAAGTTGAGTTTTGAGTTTTTTATGTAAATTTTTATCCGTTCAATCCACTGCAATATTTTTTAAGTGTTTTAGTTTTTTTAGTTGTTAATTAGATATTGACAATATTTTGACAAAAAAGAATGGTACCCATTGATAATACATTTCCCCCTATTTTTTTATTTAACTAAGAATAAAATGTAGGGCATATTAAAATATTATGAATATTATTTATCTTAATGCTCCGCCTCCTTCTTTCTCATCTTTCAAAATACTTTTTGGTTTTTGCTGTATAAACACTTGTTCCTTACCTTGATGTGGATGGTTATTGGAAATCCAATCGGGTTTGAAACAGTCGTTCACTTAATAAGTTTTTTCAGGCAACACTTCACTGTTTAATATGAATTTTTGTGGGAATTGTATTTGCATTGAGCACTGCACATTTATTTTTTTTTTTAGGTTTTTGTTGTGGTTAACACTTTGAGATATAAATTTCAGGTATGTAACAAATTTCTCCTATCCAGAGGAGTAAATGGTTAAGTATCCGCTATGGGGAGACCATAACACCTTGCCGTCGCCAAAAAGCTTCCATGGAATCATAAGACTGACTTTCAGGCGGAAACTTCGCGGATTGCGGGCGCGTACGAGTGCGAGTATCTGTATCTTTTGCAGGAGACCGAGCGCGCAGCTTGGCGACTGAAGTGCGCCACGTTCGATTCACGTTTGAGCCATAAAAACCAACAATACGACCCTCTAGCTATCTGCGCTGGTGTGCGTTTCGAACACTGTAAATCACTTGCGGACCCGACAAACGGGTGCGAGGGAGAGGCAGCAATGTGCGCATTTTCGAAAAGCAGACCATCCCACTCGCACCCATGGCAGACTCCGCCTCCCGGTTTGATTTATGCGACGAGGGTGCCACGGCAACCGGCCTATGGCGCTCCAGCTTTTCGTTCGCCGCGGCCGGGAAATGGGGAAAAGCGCGCTGCTGGGAAAACCGTAAAGCGAAAAGCGAAAAGCGAGAAAAAAACAGGTAGTTGGCAGCCACTCCAGGACGCATCTGCCCCCGGTTCACGGTCCAGATTAGGCCGAAATCATCCTAGATTAGGAGTCTCGGCCCCGCACGTCCCCACTTTATTTGTATTCAATCGTGGCGCTGTTCCGCTAAATCACCGTCACATTATTATTTCGCATTATTATTTTATAAACGTTCCGCTCCGCTCCGCGTTCATTTCCATTTTTATTGGCCGCCTTCGAAAATGCAAAGTCTCCTGCTAAAGTTATTCCTCCTTTAAAACGAGCTCGTTGGCAGTTGTCTCTGAGTTTAAATTTATTGGTCTGTTTTTCGGGGCTTGGGTTCATTTGGACTCCAGCCAAGTTCAAGTTCTCATGATTCATTCGGTTTTGGGGCTTAACGATTTTGATTTGTTTGGCTAAATGCCTTAATTAAAAGTCGATTTCATATTTGCTACCAACATTCCAGATTCAGAGCTGAACAAATGTTGTTTGATTTCGACGGCATTTGAATTTGAATTCGATTAATTACTTTGTTTCATTTTTTTAGGGTCTGTTAGCTATTTTTGTAACAAGATACAGTGAAGAAAACACACCCAAACCTGATTTTCAATAGGACTATTGTATTGGAAATTATTTTTGGAAAATTTAATATAAAATCAAAATGATAAAAAGTTGTGTGCTCTTGTAAACTTAAAAATAGATAATGATTTGCCTAAAAAAAGACTGATATGATTTCAACCTACGAATAATCGATTGCATTTTTAACATGCCCCTTGTAAAAATAATGTCAGTCTAGGATATCTAATGGACATCTACAACTTTGATTTAATTTAAAAGCGTTGTTTAAATTTTTAACAATGGAACAAAAAAAAAATATACATTAGAAGCACTAAAAAAACTGTCAGTTGGGTTTTTACTTAAAACTTGTTGCAAAAAGAAAAAGGCTAATGCGCTTTAACGAAAATTAGAAAATATATCCGGTTTTAAGCCAATTTAAAGTGTTCTTCCGATGCTCAAGGCTTGTGTAATGTTTCCACATGTTGTTCCATTGTTTTACTTAAACACACATGTAGAACATTGTGTTTGCTCTATCTACAGAACCCGCATATCACCCCGAGGAAAATAAAATTTGTAAAAAACGAAGAGATGGAAAATAAATGAAAAACTAAAAAAAGAAATCATAAGAGAGACGCCTGCGTGTACTTCTGTAATTGGAGTTGATGTTGGCGATGCCAGCGGGCAGTCAGAGCCAGACTTTCGTATCCCAATCCATGGCACCATCCTCTCGGATCCCATTCCATTCCAGATCCATGGAGGGTCCCCTCAGCAGCATCCAACATGTTGCAGGCGATTTTTCATCATCGCTTGCATGTAGTTCCTCCGACGTTGTAGTTGTTGTTCCTCACACACACTCGCTCAATTTTTAATATGAAACAATCATCCACGATTGTAGTTTGTTTTTAGTTAAAGAAAACAGCGCTTAACGCGAAATAGGAATTTTCAAATTAAGTGTGGACACAGAACAGAACTGGAAGAAAAATTTGTGAATAACTTTATAGTATACCATACCACACAAAACAAATTAAGAAAACTTTGAAAAATTTTTATTTTACTATACGCTTATTCTTATTAGTGAGTTCCCGTAAATATAATTTTATTACAAAACTATTAAAACTCTATAGAACAAACTCTACATTTAATAAAGCATTTTCGTTTTATAAAAATGTCCCTTTTACTGAATGCTATATTTTATTAGTTGGTTAGAGTAATTAGCACCTTAATTATTACAACTTTTCAGAGGTTCAGTTGACAAGATAGATCAGATAACATTATGATTTTGTTTCTGTGCACCAACGGAACTGAAACTGCAACAGTTTCCAATTAAACGATCCAAGAAAAATGGATACCCCTCCCCGGACCAAACTCACGACAATTCGTTAATACCTTACCATTTGAGTTCTTCACGCATCCGTAATGGAAATGGGGGCTTTTCGAATAGGTTGGAGGATGGCTGCCCGGGCTTAGGAGCAGTTGATAAATACCCTCCATTTGGAGGCAAACACAAGTCGGTGTTAGCCGGGATATACGCGATATTTGGAGCAGAGCAAAGTCTTACGGAATCAACTGCAGTTGGCGATGCATTGAGAGATGCATTTACATTAAAGGCCAATTTAAATTAATTTCCACTCTCTGCTTTTTGGCAGCTACCAGTTTTCAGTTTTCAGTTTCCAGTCGTCGCTCCTCGGTTCTCGCTCCTCGAAGCCCCAGTGTCAGTGTCAGTCCATTCACATTTGATTATGACAAACGTTGCTCAGCTGTCAGACATGAGCTACTTAGTTGCACAAGATGGCTGGCAAAGTTGCTGAGGAGGGAGAGGGAGGGGACATCGGGTTCTTGAGACTGGTGAGTGGTTCTGGAGAAGAGGGACCTGGAGGTCATTAGGAGGATACAACAGCTGAGCTTAAGCGATGGGATCAGGGCATGGGACCCAGGGTCTCTGGGCTTCAAAAACGAAGCAACTGCAGGGCACACCTCTTCAAAATTGGAAAATAATGTATAAGCAACTAAAACACTTTGTTTTTGAATCCCCAGTTAATCAATTAAATATCCATGAGTTTTATTTTCACAACAATAAATAAAATGTATAAATTAGGTGCAGAAAATCTTCCCGAACTTCGACCGTCTTACATACAAGCTAAAAACATTTTTAAACTAATCGGTAAAGTGCTATAAACACTACTTTTAAAAAAGTGTACCAGATATTTGCTCGATAGTAGTTATTGCCCTTTTAACTTATTTATTAAAACTGTTTTCTTTACAAATGCAAATTTAGCAACAAAACAGTGCCAATAAAACAGCATCCAGTTCTGGGAAAACGCCATTTTGATTGAATTTTTATACGAACGCACATCCCCCTTACATATACAAGGACCATAAGGACACGTTTGCCAGCCAGATAACCAAGCTTTTTCCGCAGTGGGAAAAGCTTTAACTGTATATTGCTCTCGCTTTGGCCGCAGCTGCTG